AAGACCATAGAAAAATTGACACATTTGAATTATGGTGTTGTTGGAGGAAAATATTGAAAGTATCATGGATTGCCAAAAGAACCAATAGATCCGTTTTGGAAGAAGTGCAGCCAGAGTGCTCCTTGGAGGCCAAGATGGGCAAACTTTGTCTCTCATACTTCAGACATATTGTCAGGAAGAACCAGTCATTGGAAAAGGTTATCATGCTTGTTAAGGTGGAGGGTCAGAGAAAAAGAGGAAGACCTCCAACGAGATGGATTGACCAAGTAACAGCATCGATAGACTCAAACATGGCAACAGTAGTGAGGTTGGCCCAGGATCGGACAGTGTTTCATTCTGCTGTGCACAAGGTCGCTATGAGTAGGTACCGACTGGATGGCCCCTAACAACAACAATGTTCAAGGTCAAATTTTGGCTCTCATGGGGGTACCTGTTTGTAGTCATCTTCTATATTGTTTACAAATGGTATTTGCAATGAATAAGTCATTGGTATTGCAAGTTCCTATCGTGTGATCTCCAAGGAGCTCTGGTAGTGTAGTGGTTATGAATCCGGCTGTGAACCACAAGGTCAGCAGTTCGAAACTACCAACTGTTCTGCAGGAGAAAGATGAGGCGTTCTGCTCCCATAAAGATTTACAGCCTCAGAAACCCTGTACAAGGTCACTAGAAGTCGGAACCGACTGCATGGCACACAGCCACCTCCACCATCATGTGATATCCAGCATAATTTCTATAACCAAGGCCATTATTTTCCAACTTATGATACTTCCTCTTTGTTTTCAACATTTGTAAGCCAATCACCAGTAATTATCAGTACCTCTTGATTGCATGTCTGATTGAGTTCAGACTGAAGAAGTTGGTAACATTCTTTAATAATTGTTGTTGTTAAGTGCTGTTGAGTCTGTTCCAACTTAAAGTGACTCTGCATAGGGTTTCCAAGGAGCAGCTGGTGGGTTTGAACTACTGAATTAGTAGTTTACAGTCCAGTGCTTATCCTACAGTGCCACACCAGGAGTCTTCAATAACAGTGACTCATTATTTATTATGAATCTTAAATAAGTTAATTCATATAGAATGCTTTAAAATGTAAGTGTTGTTTTATCAATAGTCATATTAGCATTGTTATGGCCAAACTTCGTCTCTCATACTTTAGACATGTTGTCAGGAGGGACCAGTTGCTGGAAAAGGATATCATGTTGGATAAGGTGGAGGGTCAGAGAAAAAGAGGAAGACCCCTAGTGAGATGGATTGGCCACGTGACAGCATCAATGGGCTCAAGGGTGGCAATAATAGTGAAGTTGGCCCAGAACTGGGCAGTGTTTTATTCTGCTGTGCATAAAGTCGCTATGAGTCGGTACCAACTTGATGGCACCTATACAACAACAACAACAACAACAACAATCCAACTTTTGAAAAAAGTTCAAGCCTAGAGATTAATGTAGTTATTTATCTAAAATACACATGATTCTGTATAGATATGTTCCTTTAGTGAATTTATATGTGAAAATGAAACAGAAACAGGTAGAGGTATATACAGGAGTCACAAATGGCTAAGCACTTAACTATTAGAAAGGATGCTGGTTAGAATCCATCAAGAGATACCTCAGAAGAAAGACCTGTTGATCTGTTTTCAAAAGGTCACAGCCTTGAAAACCCATTGGATATCTATGAGTTGGACTCTACCCTACAGTAACGAGCAGCAACAGAAACCAGAAGTACACATATCAGAATGTGTCATTGTTGTTTTGTGTAGCAGCCTTCTCATGAAAAGGGATTTCCTTTGGTCTATTAAAGCAGCTTCTTAGGAAAATTTGTTACGAGAAGAGGACAAAATTTTATTTTCAACTTACCTCAAAGTAATAGTTTCAGGGCTAGGGAGATGAAAGCCCAAATAAAAGACTGACCTCTTGGTAGAAAATCTTATAGAATAAAAAGAAAGTGATAGCTAAAGGAATGTCTGATTAACAATGTTAGGATTGTTCAAGGCTGGCTAATGTTCTTTATGCCTTTAAATAACTGCTCAACCGTGGTAAAGTTTGTCAAAGTATTCCTAGAAGCCTTTGGTACATACAATCTCCTTTGACACCTAACTCCAACTGCATCTGTTCATCTCTATTGCACACTGGTCTAGCCCACTGTCTTCCTAACTGCTCTCCTCTTTTCTCACTTGGCCCTTCTTCCCATATCTTTAGTGTTTAAGTGTTTTCAAAATTTTACAAAAAGAATTATAAGTTTGTATTGTTGTTGTTGTTAAGTGCTGTCCAGTTGGTTCCAACTCATAGTTACCCAGTCTAGTAGACACTGTGTACTACACAGTAGTTGTTGTTGTTGTTGTTAAGTGCTGTTGAGTCAGTTCTGACCCATAGTGACCCTGTATAGGGTTTCCAAGGAGCAGCTGGTGAGTTTGAACCACCAACCTTACGGTACAACCCGACCTTGTGGTCGAGTGTTTAATCTACAGTGCCACACCAGGACTACACAGTACCTAGGATAAATTCATGGATAAATTCACAACTTCTAAGCAGAGAAAATGCAGTAGTTTCATTTAACTGCCTCACTTTTCTGACTCTCAGGAAAGACTGAAGCTAGATTTACAGCACTGTGGCTTAAAATTTAGTCTTATCCTATAACTTACACAATTTCTGAAAGTTGACTTTTGATTTCTTCGGAAGTTCTCATTCTTTAGCAGCAGACTCCATCAATTGAACTCTTTGATCCCAGTTTGGCATGGGAAACAGTGGCAGGCCCGGTACATGTTATTGTCTGTCAGGCCCAGGCCCAGCCTCACATACTAGCATAGATGCCTCACTACATGTTATCATTTTGTAAGGTCCAGGAAGGCTGGGAGAAAGGAATTATCTGTCTCACAAAGTTCCTGTTACTAAGATCTACCCTGCCTAGCAGTTTACTTGTTTTCGATTAAGGCATTATTTTCTCTAGTTAACTATACCCATCTTTGGAAGAGGAGTCCCTGGGGGGTACAAATGCTTAACGGACTCAATGCTAACTGAGAGGGTGGTGGTCCAAGTCCATCCAGAAGTACCTTGGAAGAAAGGCCTGGTGATCTATTTCCAAAAACTCAAGTCACCGAAGATCCGGAAGGGCAGTGGGAGTCTGATACACATGGGTTCACCATACGTCTGACTAGTCTTGGCTGCAATTGGTTTGGTTTGTTTTTTTAAGGAAAGCACAATTAAGTATTGTCAGTCAAAAACATTTTCATATCAGTTGGACTTATTAGTTCTCTATCAAACTTGCTAACTATTCAGCAAAAACTACATATGAGTATGTCTCCTTCAATAGCAGAGGCATTAACTGTTTTGAAAGGTTGGTTAATAAAGTTCCTTTGAATTTTCAAGGCCTTATTCTAATGATAACCAGCATATGCTTCATTTAAGGATATTCAAAAAGTTGATGAAGAAAGGGAACCTGTGACTTCCTCTGCCGAAAGACATAGTGATTCAAGTCCTCCATGCTCTGGGAATATCACCAAGCCAGACTTAAAACCAGGTTTTGCTGACAAGTCTGAGGAATCCACCCAAAAAAAAGAGGTAATAGTTCTACTGCAACAAGCTGTTTCCACATATTCTCCAGTGAATTTTTACTTAACTCCTATAATATTTGGAATTCACTTCTGATAAGATGTTGCTATAATGCTAAGTTTAAAAAACCAGAACCTTCCCCCAAACTTTGCTCTAGCATCGCCATGGCACCCTAAGAAGAAGGCCTGCTAATAAGATTGCATGTATGTCAACAGTGTTTACTGGGATAAGAAATCTCATAGGAATGTTACATTACAAATTTGCATCAACAGGTAAATGGATAAATAAATTGTGACATATCCTTTCAGTGAAATACTGGCTGGTTGTGTGCTGTTGAGTCAGTTCCGACTCGTAGAGACCTTGTGTAGAGTTTCTGAGGCTATAAATCTTTACAGGAGCAGAAAGCCTCATCTTTCTCCAGCGGGTGACTGGTGGAATCAAACTACTGATCTTGTGGTTAAGTGCCCAATTTGTAACCCACTACGCTGCCAGAGTCCTGGTCTGGTGCTGCAGATTAATGCACTGGACTGCAAGGTTAGTTTGAACCACAAGTTTGGCAGTTTAAGCTCACCAGCTGCTCCTCACAAACCCTATGCTAGATCGCTATGAGTAGGAAGTGAATCGACGGCACTCAACAACAACAACACAGTACTAGGCACCTCAATGGAATACTATTCAACAATAAAAATAAATGAACTATTGGTTCATGCAACAGTGTATTGAATCTCAAAATAATTTTTGCTGAGTAAAGGAAACCAGACCAAAAACAAAATTATATGCTGTTTGATTCCACTTATATAAATTCTCTGGTAACATACTTTTGAGTCAGGCTGCTAATTTCAAGATCAACAGTTGGAAACTACCAGGCATTCCACAGAAGAAACATGAAGCTTTCTGCTCCTGTAAAGATTTACAGCCTTGCATACCCTATGTAGGGTCTCTATGAGTCAGAACTGACTCCACGGCACACCACCACCACATATAAATTCTAGAAAACACAAATTGATCTACAGTGACAGAAAGCATATCTGTGGTTGCAGGGGAGCAAGGATTTGCAACTAGTTGATATTACAAAAGAGATTACAAAAGACAAGAAGAAACTTCTGAAGTTATAGATTTATTATCTTGACTGTGGTGATAGTTTCATCAGTCTGGAGTTGTGTCCAATGTTAACAAATTGTACTTTTAAATATATGCAGCTTGTTGTATGAAAATTATAATAGCTCCTTGTTGTTGTTGCTGTCAAATGCCGCCGTGTTGGTTCCGACTCATAGTGAGCCAATAGAGGGTTTACGAAGATCTGCTGGTGGCTTTGAACCGCTGACCTTGAATTTATAAGTCCAGTGTTTATCCTACATAGCAACCCATTGGGTTTCTGAGGAGTGGCTGGTGAACTTGAACAGCTGACCTTGCAGTTCAAAGCAACCCTGAAGTCCAGTGCATTAACCTGCAGCACCACACCAACACCAGATGAATTTTAAAATTCTATAAGATTTTTAAGAATCTTTTTAACCGTTTTTTTTTCTCTAAAGGTTTAGAATTTCATAAAATTTTATATTACATCTTCTGAAAACATGCTTGTAATCTGTAGTTTATTTAGTTAGCATAGAATCTATCAGGTTTAAATGAAATTTTTCACTTTGTTTTTGTCTTATTTCATTTTATTCTTTTCTATCTTGATAGTAATATTAACATAATATTAACATGATGTTGTATATTTTCTCAAAGACAAATGGCATATTCTATGTAATACAAATTATTTTCTAAGTGGCAGGATGGTGTAGACTTTAAAAAAACAATCTTCCAAGCAGAGATACAGGCGGGACAATAACACTAGTAAGGTATGCTCACCATGGAGTGGTCAGCCACTCAAGATCAAAAGGGGGCGGCATTTACCTCAGGACAATGTTCAGAAGGGTGATGGAAGGAGACAGGGTAATGGAAATAAGAACCATAGTGAGGAAGTGGGATATCCGTTGTTACATGGAGGGGTTGCAATCAGTGAGATGAAACAAAACGCATGATTTATTGAATGTAAAACTGATGAACTACTCTCTAAACCTGCACTCAATTCACAATAAAAAGTTTCACACACGAAGAATTGTCCTCTTGTTAGTTATGTTTATGGCATTCTTGATAGAAGAAAAATCAATTTTGTGAAATCCTATTCATAATTTTTGTCTTTTTATTTTTAATAAACTTTATTGAGGTACAATTTCCATACAGTAAAATGTACCTTTAAAGTACACAACTCAATTATTTTAAACAACTCAAAGCAGCCATGTGACTACAACACAGTCAAGAAATACTACCAGAATGCTCCTTAAAACCAGAATGGCAAGACTTTTGTCTCTCATACTTCAGGCATATTATCATGAGGGACCAGTCCCTGAAGAAGGACATCATGCTAGGTAAAACGGAGGGTCAGAGAAAAAGAGGGAAATCCCCAACAAAATGGCTTGGCACAGTGGCAGCAGCAATGGGCTCAAGTGTAACAGCAACTGTGAGGGTGGTGCAGGGTGAGGCAGGGTGTTGTTCTGTTGTACATAGGGTCGCTATGAGTTGGAATTGACTTGGCAGGACCTTACAACAACAACAACAATACCAAATACTATGAGCCAAGTCTTACATGCTTTTCTTCATTTAATTCTCAAATAATCCTATAAAAGAGAAACTAAATCATCCCCCTTGGAAAGACAGCTGAAGTTTGGCAACTGTAAGTAATTTTCTGAGATTTTGCAACATTTGGCTTGTAAACAGAAATCCTAAAACAAACCCGGTGACAACTTTTTGGGCTTTTTACTGTAAATAAATTGTGAAACTGTAAAACCTTCATACTTAAAATCTTAGTAACATTTTTACCTTCTGAGCTTACGCTGGTTAGTTCCTCCCCGGACTTTGTTTTAATCATAAAATCTGACAATTCACCCTTTTAGAGGATTTAAGAAAAAAATATGCCTATTAGCTTTTCTGTGCTTCTTAGCTATTAGATCTGTGCATTAAATTGTCAATGATGAGCAAAATGACAAAAGTTGATAAACTTAAGCACTCTTGGATGTTGTTGTTGATGATAAGTGTCATTGAGGCAGTTCCGACTCATAGCAACCCTGTATAGTTTCCAAGGGGTGGCTGGTAAGATTGAACTGCTGACCTTTTGATTCAAACCACACTTGCAGTCCAGTGCCTTAACCAACAGTGCCACACCAGGATTCACTTTTGGATAAGATTCTATGCCACCGTTAGATTTTCTGCTTTACACTGTAAATGTATTTCTAACTGACTAACTTTTCCCCACCCAATTATGCTCTCAAACCATGTTTCTTAACCAAATAAATTTTACTTTTAGACTGATATTCCTGAAGTTTCTCTACTAAAAATCATGAAATTAAATAAGTCTGAATGGCCTTTTGTGGTTCTGGGAACATTAGCTTCTGTTCTAAATGGAATTGTTCATCCAGTGTTTTCCATCATCTTTGCAAAAATTCTAACTGTAAGTAAAACTAATTTGCTAATATTTCTAATCATTTTCAACAAAGTATAGCTTGGGAGAACAGAGTTGTTGCACTGTAACCCAGTAAGGGGAAAACTGGAACTTTCAATGGCTTACCACTAGGGTGAGGGCCATGAAAGGAGAGTTAAGGAATGTTTTCAGGGGATAAGCCATGTCTCTTTTGATGTGTTTGGCAGTCCCTTGCTGATTGGGCAATCAGTAAAGAAATTACTTTGTTTTCTGATTTTTGACTCCAGTGCTGTCTCAGCATTCCAAAGCACTGAAGCAATAAAATAGACAAATAGGACTTCTCTCCTTTCAACTAGTCAGAACAATAGCCATTTTTTATTACCAACTGGCTTAGGGAAAAATAACAATTTGGCATTGTGTTGTAGGATCCTAGAGAGTTGGTGGGCTCAAGGATCCTATGAAATTCACACGAATTCCTCAGTTTCACTGATTTGCCCAGCTCCCCTTTGTCAAGATAGAAGTCAATATGTATACTCCTACTAATTTTAGGAAATAGATGTCAGTATGTGTATCAGTACTCATTTTAGGATCACTTCTCCAGACATGTATGTAGGTCTCATACTGCAGGTACCACTCCAAAAAGAGGAATATTAAGAAACTTTACAAGTTATTAGAAATAATAGCTAATTCAAACCAACTGATGATTTCTTGGGAAGTATCTCTGGTAGCATAGTGGTTACGAATCGGGCTGTTTACCTCAGGGTCATCAGTTCGAAACTACCAGCT